CTGCATATTTTCGTCTCTGCGGAGATTTTGGTTTGTTTTAGTATCTTTCATCAATTTTTGCTATGTTATGAATGTGTTAGCTATTAACTCTATAATTAAAATATAAATCAAGGTGTAGCGAATTGCACTTCATACGTTTGAGCAACAAACTCACCAAGTACACTGCGATTAAATTCATGGCAATTTCAACGAGCATTATCCGTCCTGTGGCGCATGTCACGATGTCTTTTGTGTCTGAGTAACGCACGTCTACGCTGGCATAAAGATTCCCTTTAAAGAGCACAATGCACTTGAATTATTAAAATTTTTTGTCGTTCGGGATTAAAAAAAAGCGAGACTGTGTTTTAGCTGCAGAAAGCATTGTTCCGATCAACTGGTCTTCCCTCACAGCACCGAAGCACACAAGACAGGACTAGTTGTTACGGTCATTTCCGGCAGTAAACATGCAACACGCTTCTTCCAATCTCCACTTTTGGATTTAAGAATTTTTACAAACTTACATGGATAATAAACATCAGCCAAAACGCCTTCTGTTGTGTGTGGGCGTAGCATGGTGAATGAAACATCTAAAAGGCAAATAAACGCGGAAAGTACAAGCCAGACTTCGATCCAAAGGGGCAGATTCCCATCGCGCGAGAATCGATTAAATAGCACTCTCTTCTGAACGGAAACAAATAAAAGGATCGTACAAGGAGTTTACTTAAGGAACCCACCTTCTCCATAAATAAGGGAAAAGCGTTTGCAGAAGAGGAATTCTAAAACACATGCACATATGATACTCCCAGTCTTTAGGGGTTAGGAAGTTAAAGCGAGGAGACAAGAACAATAAACAATATTTGTGACCTATCTTATGCTTGTAAAAACAAAGTGTACTGAGTTTTTGAATCTACATACACACCTTTTATTTTTGCCCTTCATACTGATTGGGCAGATTACAAGAGGAGGTAGAAGTAAGAGCTGTTAAGTTATCAAACGCCTGCCAGTTTGCTTAACAACTCTTATATCTTTCTCTTGATTTCATTGTGGTAACTGAAAAAATTTATCTCTAGACTGAATCAGACAAATTAAATTGACCTATCAAAATTAATTCTTTCGAATCAGCGAGAAAATTCCTGCTTTTTATGAGAAGATGGAGTTTGACGAAGACCTAAAAAGGCGGTTCTCATAAATGCAACTTGAATCGTGCGGCAGCGCGTCGCTACAGTTTCACAGTCCATACTTGCCAAGACATTTTATACTTACAAACGTGAATTAAGAACGATTCTTTAGCACAAACAAGACTGCCAAGTGTAGCTGTGCTTATTATTTACATTGGCGATTTCATTCGACGAGGTGCATTCTTTGATATGATACCTATTATCCTATGAGATCTGTAGCTGTATAGGTTTCAGTCTTACC